CCGCTGCCGCAATGATGATGATGGCGCTGAGCAAGACCTTCGGGCAGAAGCCCGTCAAGTTCCAGCTGGAAGACGACGGCGAGTTCTACATGATCGGCTCCGAGGTAGCCCGCGGCGCGTCCTCGCCCTCCTCGGGCCGGCCCCGCAGGAGCCTCGGGGCGGGTCTGTGCGCCGGGAACGCGCGTCTCCATTCATCGCTGCGGGCGTGCGCGCGCGTGCGCGGGACGACGGGACGTGGCTAGTGGGCGTGGCCGGTGGATCCCGCCCCAGATCTGTAACCTGAGTTTATTTAAACCATTTTGCCAGTCCGAGTGCACCCTGATTCCAGGGCCTAGGGCGCCGCGAGGGACCAGTGGTTCCGCGCTGAGTTGATACAATTTCAGCCCCACGCAAAAAACGGGATGTTCGGTTGAGGGAGGGGAGTGCATTCCTGACCTTGATCCTTTTGAGATGTTGCAAATCTCACCTGCACCCTCATGCTGCTTGTGGGGCCCTGAAATCGCAGGTTGAAATCCTGGGGCTTAGTGAGGATTCATCCTCATTGTGTTTGTTGCCTCTGAGGTGGGCGGTGGAGGTGTTTTGGCCTTTGTTTGCCTGTGAAGAAACAGATTGGGAGAAAGATTTTTGCTTTGGGGTGAATAAGGAACCCATGTGTCAGCTAGATCTTTCAGCAGTTTGGAAGCAATTGACACTTTGGATATCTGTGAACTGATTCTGAATTATTACAGGAGAAAGGTCCTGGTTGTCTTTAATCCTTAACTTGAGTGATGGCACTTTGTTTAGTCAGCTGGATGGCTTACTTGAGGAAAACCTTAACAGTTGTCTCTTGAATGGGTGTTTGTTCTAAAGACAGTGTTTACAAACTGTCTCAAACTAACCCTTTTTGGTCTAAAGGCAGTTCCCAGCTATTATGCATGTACATATGTATATATTTACACACACACACACACACACACACATATATTTGTGGATCTACGGTTCGGATGGACAAATGTCAAGTGCCAGTCTACCTCATGTAAGGGGGGAGGTGCCAAACCTGGAGATTTAAAGGCATTACAAAATGCCAAGAGTTGCCTCTTCTTGGAATAGCCTGCTTCCAGCTCTGCTCTGTTAGAGTATCATACTCCAACATTTCATTCAAATAACTTCTGTGTTGTTTCTTCACTACTGGGCATAGCATGAATGAATGAGGCCTCACTATAGTCACACTGAGGAATCATGGGGTGTCCTGTCTTGTGTTAGTTGTGTCAAGTTATGGGTCCAGTATCGTCAGTAACATCTGAACGTTAGTGTTTGCATTTTCCACCAATTTTTTTTTTTTTTTTTTT